TTTTTAATTATATTGTAATGTTAGTATTTTTTTTATATAGTGTAAAAACTAATGTGTATTGCTGGTCTTTGACCGTAATAAAGAATTTACTTACTTACTTTACGTATTATAAATTAATGTAAATGTGCTCTGTTAAAAACATAATTTTCAAAATATTTTCCAAACTGCTATTGGACCTTATTTCAGAGTTCTTTAGATTTTGTTCAGTATTAATCTGGAATTAATAATGTAAATGTAACAGCCAGTTTGGTGTAGTGGTTAATCAGTACATTCTATCAGACTAGAAACTGTGATCAGGAGTAAAAACTAACTTGAAGCCACAAAAATAAGTAAAAATATTTGTAATGCAACATTATATTCCAAATGATTAAAATTTTGTGTTGAGTTATGAGGAAAACACTCACTCTCACAGAAAAAGCTTTTCTTCGTTTATTTTTCTAGTACAAGTATATTTTGTGACAAATTATGAGTTCTATTTTAATGTAACCAGATAATAAACTTACATTTAGCATAATGATTCAGCAAATATTATTTGGCAGATTCAAACTAAATAACTACAATATCTACTGTTAAATTGTCTGTACAAGGGGGAAAAAGACTTGGAAAAATTAATTACAAAGATAACATTATTTAATTTGAAATGAATGAAATCTTAAATATGCAATCCTGTACTATGAAAATCAGATCCTGAAATTCTGTCACGTTGCTTGGATTAATTTATGAATAACAGATGTTATTTCTCTTAAATCTATAAAAACTCTGAATTGATTAAGTCATCACTTGCTAAGCATCACATTTGTAACTGTACTTTTCACAATTAAAATTATATAATATATTTTACAGCATTTGAAATATTAATTGATGAAAATATAAGTAAATTCTAATATCAAAAATCCTTCACATATTGGCAGAAGTTTTCATATTGAAATGAAGTGTTAACATTACCAAAAATTTTCTTGTAACAATTTAGTATTTGTGAGTTTATGGAAGGAAATATTATGAACTATTCCAGGAAAAAATAGTAAAGTTAATTTTTATGGCGTTGTACAATATTCTTGAAAAGTAATTCCTTGTTTTGTAATCTTCATAATTTCTCCATTTAATGAATCATCTTCAAGGATTTTTATCAGTCCTTCAGCGATTAGTGATGGGCTACAAATAAATTCATATGACACAAATTAGACTAGGCTGACTATAAATATTAGAAATCACTTCATATTTCCTAAACTATTAAAAGTGAAAAGAAACCAATTTCTGTTTTTGCAAGGATTAATATACTTGAGGACTAGTCAGTTAAATAACAGTGTAATCTAAGTTATTTCTATTCATTTTCCAATCATAATGATAAAAAGGGTATTTTATATGATAAATAGTACTTTTAATACTGGATAAAATATTCTGATATTTGTCTGAGATCTTGCAAGAGTCGAAATAAAAGTCAGTTATTAAGTTTATACATACCTCACTCATTCATCTGAAACAATTACAGATAGTACTCAACTTACAACCATTTGTTTACTGACCAAAGTTACAAGAGCATTGAAAAATGTGTATAATGTCCATTTTTCACACTTAACAACCATTGCAGCCTCCCATGTTCATGTGATCAAAATTTGCATGTTTGGTAACTGGTTCATATTTATGATGGTTGCATTGCCCTGGGGTCACATGATCACCTTTTGCAACCGTCTGACAAGCAAAGTTAATGGGGAAGCCAGATTCACTTAACAACTGTGGCAACAAAAGTCGTAAAATGGGGCAATACTCACTTAACAAATGTCTTGCTTAGCAACAGAATTTTTGCACTCAATTTGGGTTGTATGTCAAGGATTACCTGTATATAACATACTATTGAAGGTATTGTAGAGACTAGATGATATTGGATATACCAGAAAACTTGTGACTATTTTAAGCTTACACATTTTCCCATCTGAATTTGTATTTACTAGGTGGATAACCATGCTCCGCTATGAAACTATGTGAATAGGCTTGATAAATCAACACTTATAGCTTGAAAATTAATGAGTAGTTATGATCAGCCACTCTTTTTCCCTTCTGTCCCTCAGGCTTGCCACACAGAGGCCTCTCCTCTCCTTGCCTCACATATGCATCTCCTATCTTATCCCCTTCTCTCCCTGAGGCTGGCCCCATTGATCCTCTCCTATCCCCTTTCCTCCCTCAGACTTGCCCCACAGAGGCCTCTCCTATCTTATCCCCTTCTTTCCCTCAGTCTAACTACTTAGCATCAGAACATTTTTCCTAACCGTAACCCCAACCCCCAAGTGGCAATTAGAACAGAGTTCTTTTCAGATGGGGAGGGAGAATAGAATGTCTAACTCCTTAGCATCAGAGTGTGATGATGATGGTGATGATGATAATGATCAATACCTAAAGGGCTTCCTCGCAATTTGGAAATTCTAAATTTATCGGACTTGAAGATTCTGACTCTACAAAAAACCACCCTACTTGGAACACCTTATATCCTCCAATGTTACCTTAACAGTTCCTAGGTCCTTGGTTAGGACTTGAGCTGTTGAGCTACCAACCAGCTGCAAAGGCTGTGAATCTCACCAAAGATTAACCAAATTATTATTATTATTAATAATAATAATAA